TATATGACCGAACCTAACCAACCCTACCTAACCTAACCTAACCTATCTTTATAGGTTAGGTTAGGTTAGGTAGCCGAAAACGTTAGGTTAGGTTAGGTTAGGTAGGTTAGGTAGTCGAAAAAACATTAATTCATGAAAACTAGGCTTATTAGGCAAATCGGGCCTTGCACAGTAGGCTGAGAAGTGAGTTCTGGCTACTAGGTACGACATATATATATATATATATATATATATATATATATATATATATATATATATATATATATATATATATATATATATATATATATATGTCGTACCTAGTAGCCAGAACGCACTTCTCCGCCTACTATGCAAGGCCTGATTTGCCTAATAAGCCAAGTTTTCATGAAATAATTGTTTTTCGACTACCTAACCTACCTAACGTAACCTAACCTAACTTTTTCGGCTACCTAACCTTACCTAACCTATAAAGATAGGTTAGGTTAGGTTAGGTAGGGTTGGTTAGGTTCGGTCATATATCTACGTTAATTTTAACTCCAATAAAAAAAAATTGAACTCATACATAATGAAATGGGTAGCTTTATCATTCATGAGAAAAAAATTAGAGAAAATTTATTAATTCAGGAAAACTTGGCTTAGTAGGCAAATCGGGCCTTGCATAGTAGGCCGAGAAGTGCGTTCTGGCTACTAGGTACGACATATATATATATATATATATATATATATATATATATATATATATATATATATATATATATATATATATGTCGTACCTAGTAGCCAGAACGCACTACTCAGCCTACTATGCAAGGCCCGATTTGCCTAATAAGCCAAGTTTTCCTGAATGAATATATTTTCTCTATTTTTTTCTTATGAATTGATAAAGCTACTCATTTCATTATGTATGAGGTCAATTTTTTTTTTATTGGAGTTAAAATTAACGTAGATATATGACCGAACCTAACCAACCCTACCTAACCTAACCTAACCTATCTTTATAGGTTAGATTTGGTTAGGTAGCCGAAAAAATTAGGTTAGGTTAGGTTAGGTAGGTTAGGTAGTCGAAAAACAATTAATTAATGAAAACTTGGCTTATTAGGCAAATCAGGCCTTGCATAGTAGGCTGAGAAGTTGCGTGGATTGCAAACCTTACGGGTGTATAAATCCCCAAATTTACGTCACCTGGGGAATGAATAGGCGTGGATTTACGTGATCTACAAGTGCCCTTAACTGGAATAAAAATACCTACAACTACACTTAACTGGATTCACTAGTACTTAAAGGGCCCTTAACTGGATTTATATAAACTGAAGTGCCCTTACCAACGCTAAATTAATGTACCCTACAGGTAAACATGTACTGATTTGTGCCGCCTGTGTTCTCCAAGTGTACAAAGCTGGGCTCACCAGGCAAGTGGTGCACCACTCTGGGTTGTGTAGAGTGATGGGCACGACCGCCATTCCTCCTCCACCACACTCCACTGCTCGCCACAGGTAATTTCTTCTCTTCGATTTGCCAGCAATTTGACAGTTTATTCTCATTGAATGGTGCGAAAAAATCAGAGCAAAAGCGGAACTAAATGTTGCATATATTTGTTTGCAAGATACACAAATAAATATATTATATAATATTAATATTGGAGTAGTTTTTAGAAAATCTATTCATCAAATGCAAGAAATATACCTGTATTAGGCTTAAATAGGCAATTCCAGGTCTATCATATTTAATTTTAGGCCTAATTCAGTACTTATGTATGTGTCTATAAACAAAAATGTTTGTGTGGTGAAGGTTTGAGGACAGGCGGTTGAGGTTAGCCCCACTAAAGTTTGCAGGGTAACTGCTGGCTGTTAGGGACGGTCATAGGTGGGTCACGGTCGATGCCATTTGCATGAAATTGCAATCATACCAATCTCCAATTTCGCTAAACACAAGATTCCATCCTCACTAAAAATCATCCAAAATTATTTGTTACACGACTAAAGGCCCAACTACTTGGGCTGGACGGTAGAGTGACGGTCTCGCTTCAAGCTGGTCGGCGTTCAATCCCTGATCATCGAAGCAGTTGGGTACCATTAACATAATCATTGTATACTTGGTATACAATAATTATGTATATTTAGGTATATATAGGTGAAAAATAACGAAGCATGGATGTCATCGGCCGTCGTGGCTATAACTCCACCAACGCCTGGGTGGGTGTGGAGCACGACTAGTAACGGTGTGACTCACCATAGATGTGCCTCGTATAGTGACTGTTGTGAGCCTCTTGTTGAATCACTTGTAATATGAAAGATTATCGATATGTATACGTATTTGTGTGTATGATTTTATATATATATATATACATATATATATATATATATATATATATATATATATATATATATATATATATATATATATATATGTCGTACCTAGTAGCCAGAACTCACTTCTCAGCCTACTATTCAAGGCCCGATTTGCCTAATAAGCCTAGTTTTCCTGAATTAATATATTTACTATAATTTTTTTCTTATGAAATGATAAAGCAACCCTTTTCTCTATGTATGAGGTCAATTTTTTTTATTGCAGTTAAAATTAACGTAGATATATGACCGAACCTAACCAACCCTACCTAACCTAACCTAACCTAATATATATATATATATATATATATATATATATATATATATATATATATATATATATGTCGTACCTAGTAGCCAGAACGCACTTCTTCAGCCTACTATGCAAGGCCCGATTTGCCTAATAAGCCAAGTTTTACTGAATTAATATATTTTCTCTAATTTTTTTCTTATGAAATGATAAAGCTACCCATTTCATTATGTATGAGGTCAATTTTTTTTTATTGGAGTTAAAATTAACGTAGATATATGACCGAACCTAACCAACCCTACCTAACCTAACCTAACCTATCTTTATAGGTTAGGTTAGGTTAGGTAGCCGAAAAAGTTAGGTTAGGTTAGGTTAGGTTATATATATATATATATATATATATATATATATATATATATATATATATATATATATATATATATATATATATATATATATGTGTCGTACCTAGTAGCCAGAACGCACTTCTCAGCCTACTATGCAAGGCCCGATTTGCCTAATAAGCCAAGTTTTCATGAATTAATTGTTTTTCGACTACCTAACCTACTTAACCTAACCTAACCTAACTTTTTCGGCTACCTAACCTAATCTAACTTATAAAGATAGGTTAGGTTAGGTTAGGTAGGGTTGGTTAGGTTCGGTCATATATCTACGTTAATTTTAACCCCAATAAAAAAAATTAACCTCATACATAATGAAATGTGTAGCTTTATCATTTCATAAGAAAAAAAATAGAGAAAATATATTAATGCAGGAAAACTTGGCTTATTAGGCAAATCTGGCCTTGCATAGAAGGCTGAGAAGTGCGTTCTGGCTACTAGGTACGACATATATATATATATATATATATATATATATATATATATATATATATATATATATATATATATATATATATATATATATATATATATGTCGTACCTAATAGCCAGAACGCACTTCTCAGTCTACTATGCAAGGCCCGATTTGCCTAATAAGCCAAGTTTTCCTGAATTGATATATTTTTTCTAATTTTTTTCTTATGAAATGATAAAGCTACCCATTTCATTATGCATGAGGTCAATTTTTTTTATTGGAGTTAAAATTAACGTAGATATATGACCGAACCTAACCAACCCTACCTAACCTAACCTAACCTATCTTTATAGGTTAGGTTAGGTTAGGTAGCAGAAAAAGTTAGGTTAGGTTAGGTTAGGTAGGTTTGGTTGCCGAAAAACAATTAATTCATGAAAACTTGGCTTATTAGGCAAATCAGGCCTTGCATAGTAGGCTGAGAAGTGCGTTCTGGCTACTAGGTACGACATATATATATATATATATATATATATATATATATATATATATATATATATATATATATGTCGTACCTAGTAGCCAGAACTCACTTTTCAGCCTACAATGCAAGGCCCGATTTGCCTAATAAGCCAAGTTTTCATGAATTAATATATTTTCTCTAATTTTTTCTTATGAAATGATAAAGCAACCCATTTCATTATGTAAGAGGTCAATTTTTTTTTATTGGAGTTAAAATTAACGTAGATATATGACCGAACCTAACCAACCCTACCTAACCTAACCTAACCTATCTTTATAGGTTAGGTTCGGTTAGGTAGCCGAAAAAGTTAGGTTAGGTTAGGTTAGGTAGGTTAGGTAGTCGAAAAACAATTAATTCATGAAAACTTGGCTTATTAGGCAAATCGGGCCTTGCATAGTAGGCTGAGAAGTGCATTCTGGCTACTAGGTACGACATATATATATATATATATATATATATATATATATATATATATATATATATATATATATATATATATATATATTATATATATATATATATATATATATATATATATATATATATATATATATATATATATATATATATATATATATATATATATATATATATATATGTCGTACCTAGTAGCCAGAACGCACTTCTCAGCCTACTATGCAAGGCCCGATTTGCCTAATAAGCCAAGTTTTCATGAATTATTGTTTTTCGACTACCTAACCTACCTAACCTAACCTAACCTAACTTTTTCGGCTACCTAACCAAACCTAACCTATAAAGATAGGTTAGGTTAGGTTAGGTAGGGTTGGTTAGGTTCGGTCATATATCTACGTTAATTTTAACTCCAATAAAAAAAAATTGACCTCATACATAATGAAATGGGTAGCTTTATCATTTCATAAGAAAAAAATTAGAAAAAATATATTAATTCAGGAAAACTTGGCTTATTAGGCAAATCGGGCCTTGAATAGTAGGCCAAAAAGTGAGTTCTGGCTACTAGGTACGACATATATATATATAATATATATATATATATATATATATATATATATATATATATATATATATATATATAACTGGAATAAAAATACCTACAACTACACTTAACTGGATTCACTAGTACTTAAAGGGCCCTTAACTGGATTTATATAAACTGAAGTGCCCTTACCAACGCTAAATTAATGTACCCTACAGGTAAACATGTACTGATTTGTGCCGCCTGTGTTCTCCAAGTGTACAAAGCTGGGCTCACCAGGCAAGTGGTGCACCACTCTGGGTTGTGTAGAGTGATGGGCACGACCGCCATTCCTCCTCCACCACACTCCACTGCTCGCCACAGGTAATTTCTTCTCTTCGATTTGCCAGCAATTTGACAGTTTATCCTCATTGAATGGTGCGAAAAAAATCAGAGCAAAAGCGGAACTAAATGTTGCATATATTTGTTTGCAAGATACACAAATAAATATATTATATAAATATTAATATTGGAGTAGTTTTTAGAAAATCTATTCATCAAATGCAAGAAATAAACCTGTACTAGGCTTAAATAGGCAATTCCAGGTCTATCATATTTAATTTTAGGCCTAATTCAGTACTTATGTATGTGTCTATAAACAAAAATGTTTGTGGGGTGAAGGTTTGAGGACAGGCGGTTGAGGTTAGCCCCACTAAAGTTTGCAGGGTAACTGCTGGCTGTTAGGGGACGGTCATAGGTGGATCACGGTCGATGCCATTTGCATGAAATTGCAATCATACCAATTTCCAATTTCGCTAAACACAAGATTCCATCCTCACTAAAAATCATCCAAAATTATTTGTTACACGACTAAAGGCCCAACTACTTGGGCTGGACGGTAGAGTGACGGTCTCGCTTCAAGCTGGTCGGCGTTCAATCCCTGATCATCGAAGCAGTTGGGTACCATTAACATAATCATTGTATACTTGGTATACAATAATTATGTATATTTAGGTATATATAGGTGAAAAATAACGAAGCATGGATGTTATCGGGCGTCGTGGCTATAACTCCACCAACGCCTGGGTGGGTGTGGAGCAAGACTAGTAACGGTGTGACTCACCATAGATGTGCCTCGTATAGTGACTGTTGTGAGCCTCTTGTTGAATCACTTGTAATATGAAAAGATTATCGATATGTATACGTATTTGTGTGTATGATTTTATATATATATATATATATATATATATATATATATATATATATATATATATATATATATATATATATATATATATATATATATATATATATATATATATATATATATATATATGTGTGTGTGTGTATATCACGAAAATAAACACGTGATTAAGAATGTGACAATGTCAGACCACGGAGGAAAATGAAACAGGAAATTTCCTTAAGTACTTTCGTATATTAAATACATCTTCAGAAGACCTTCTGAAGATGTATTTAATATACGAAAGTACTTAAGGAAATTTCCTGTTTCATTTTCCTCCGTGGTCTGACATTGTCATATATATATATATATATATATATATATATATATATATATATATATATATATATATATATATATATATATATATATATATATATATATATATATATACGTACGTGAGTACATAATATTAACAATTGTGTAACTAGCTTCAAAAGATTGTCACTTGCTTAGCTAAATGAACTATGGGGTGTAGTTCCTGAATCGATTATATGCCTCTGTAACCTATTTCCACCACTGCCCACGGGATGGGGATGGGGTGCATAATAAAGAAATTGAATTGCTTGTGTCGCGCACGATAACCAAGAGCGCTGTTGAATTCTACAGTACTTGTTATATAGCCAAACTGGCTTAGGCTGCTTACTCCCTATAATTACCTATCTTTATCTCATTAGCAAAGAAGAAAACATTAGGAGACAGGGCATAGAGTCCGTTGCCATCAGGCTCTACAACATCATCTAAGAGAATTTTACCCTCCATAGAGTCTTTAAAGGACTCTAACGTTGGAGAGAACCACCATCGGTGCTCGCAGCTAAAAGGTTTCATGACATCAACTGATAATCCATTCTTAAAATACTGGTCAAATGGTTGTTAATTTAGCAATTGTGCCTTTTGTTTATGCATGAGAAGCACTTTACTGAACACTCAAAACCTAAACCATCCTGATGCAGCCCGTCCTCATCAACGAAGCAGCCCGTCCTCATCAACGAAGCAGCCCGTCCTCATCAACGAAGCAGCCCGTCCTCATCAACGAAGCAGCCCGTCCTCATCAACGAAGCAGCCCGTCCTCATCAACGAAGCAGCCCGTCCTCATCAACGAAGCAGCCCGTCCTCATCAACGAAGCAGCCCGTCCTCATCAACGAAGCAGCCCGTCCTCATCAACGAAGCAGCCCGTCCTCATTAACAAAGAAGCCCGCTCCACCAATGTTAGCTGACCTATTGTGGCGAGGCTGGGGGACTGTGGCGAGGCTGGAGGACTGTGGCGAGGCTGGGGACTGTGGCGAGGCTGGGGGACTGTGGTGAGGCTGGGGGACTGTGGCGAGGCTGGGGGACTGTGGCGAGGTGGTGAGGCTGGGGGACTGTGGCGAGGCTGTGAGTGCTGTGGCGAGGCTGTGGGGACTGTGGCGAGGCTGTGGGCTGTGGCGAGGGAGACTGTGGCGAGGCTGGGGGACTGTGGCGAGGCTGGGGGACTGTGGCGAGGCTGGGGGACTGTGGCGAGGCTGTGAGTGCTGTGGCGACTGTGGCGAGGCTGGTGGGACTGTGTGGCGAGGCTGGAGGACTGTGGCGAGGCTGAAGGACTGTGGCGAGGCTGGGGGACTGTGGTGAGGCTGGGGGACTGTGGTGAGGCTGGAGGACTGTGGTGAGGCTGGGGGACTGTGGCGAGGCTGGGGGACTGTGGCGAGGCTGGAGGACTGTGGCGAGGCTGTGAGGACTGTGGCGAGGCTGGGGGACTGTGGCGAGGCTGGAGGACTGTGGCGAGGCTGGAGGACTGTGGCGAGGCTGTGGCACTGTGGCGAGGCTGTGGGGACTGTGGCGAGGCTGTGGGGACTGTGGCGAGGCTGGAGGACTGTGGTGAGGCTGGGGGACTGTGGCGAGGCTGGAGGACTGTGGCGAGGCTGGAGGACTGTGGCGAGGCTGGAGGACTGTGGAGAGGCTGGAGGACTGTGGCGAGGCTGGGGGACTGTGGCGAGGCTGGGGGACTGTGGCGAGGCTGGGGGACTGTGGCGAGGCTGGGGGACTGTGGCGAGGCTGGGGGACTGTGGCGAGGCTGGAGGACTGTGGCGAGGCTGGAGGACTGTGGCGAGGCTGGGGGACTGTGGCGAGGCTGGAGGACTGTGGCGAGGCTGGAGGACTGTGGCGAGGCTGGGGGACTGTGGCGAGGCTGGGGGACTGTGGCGAGGCTGGGGGACTGTGGCGAGGCCGGAGGACTGTGGTGAGGCTGGGGGACTGTGGCGAGGCTGGGGGACTGTGGAGAGGCTGAGGACTGTGGCGAGGCTGGAGGACTGTGGCGAGGCTGGGGGACTGTGGCGAGGCTGTGGACTGAGCGAGGCTGGAGGACTGTGGTGAGGCTGGGGAACTGTGGCGAGGCTGGGGGACTGTGGCGAGGCTGTGGGACTGTGGCGAGGCTGGGGGACTGTGGCGAGGCTGGAGGACTGTGGCGAGGCTGGGGGACTGTGGCGAGGCTGGGGGACTGTGGCGAGGCTGGAGGACTGTGGCGAGGCTGGAGGACTGTGGCGAGGCTGGAGGACTGTGGTGAGGCTGGGGAACTGTGGCGAGGCTGGGGGACTGTGGCGAGGCTGTGGGACTGTGGCGAGGCTGGGGGACTGTGGCGAGGCTGGGGGACTGTGGCGAGGCTGGGGGACTGTGGCGAGGCTGGGGAGCACTGTGGCGAGGCTGTGGGACTGTGGCGAGGCTGGGGGACTGTGGCGAGGCTGTGGGGACTGTGGCGAGGCTGGGGGACTGTGGCGAGGCTGTGGGACTGTGGCGAGGCTGGAGCACTGTGGCGAGGCTGGGGGACTGTGGCGAGGCTGGAGGACTGTGGTGAGGCTGTGGGAACTGTGGCGAGGCTGGGGGACTGTGGCGAGGCTGTGAACACTGTGGCAAGGCTGGAGGACTGTGGCGAGGCTGGAGGACTGTGGCGAGGCTGGAGGACTGTGGCGAGGCTGGAGGACTGTGGCGAGGCTGGAGGACTGTGGCGAGTCTGGGGGACTGTGGCGAGGCTGGAGGACTGTGGCGAGAACCACAGTCCACTGTGGAATCAGAACCACATCATATATTGCCAATATTTTCACCTGTAACAATCTTCGTCCTCTTCTGCACTCTAGGCGGGAGACGGGCCACTAACCTCGTGCCCTCACCTGTGCATGACGCGCCGAAAAAAACACTTTAGAGACTGGGGAACGGAACGCCAAATCAATCAATCACCAAACTTGCAAATCGACTTCAATTCCCATGAATCAATATCTGTTACTCCTACATATCTTGTCGAAAATTGCATGACACAGTTTAATTATTGCGGAAAATCGCGAAGTTATATTATCAGGGACCGCAGCGTGGCGTATGGCAGGCGCGGAGTTCATTGGCCTCGCTGCGCCGCCTCTACTGGTGCTTTATCAACTCGTCCTCTCAACTAATACGTCACATTTTGTACGTTATGGTCCCCAACGTACAAAGTGCTATGAAAAGTAGCGGCTCACAAATATCCACGCTTTCTATGTAGTGATACTTGGGCTACTCGGGTTCGTACGTTTCAGGCAGGTGACCTGTGTGTTTTCTACTTTGTGGGATATCAAGAGTGATATCAAGAAATAGAGTGATATATCAAGAGTGGGATATCAAGAGTCTTTTGTATTGACGTTGTCTCCAACAGATGAGCCTGAAAACATTGTTAGATTGATTAGGCCGTGGGCCTAACCAAGGCGTCTGAGTTGCGTGATGTTATACACAAGGATATAAGTCTGAGAACAAAGGTTTTTCCTAAGTCGACCGCTATAACGGCGTGCGTCAAAAAGTTATTTTTTTATTTATGAAAAATAGTAAGTTTTGTTACACCATAACATTGTCGGATGCACCTTTGGAGATAACCACTGCTTGGAGATGACCACCATTTTGAGAGCCTTGCTGGGGAATGGCTCTCCATATATTTCCCTCCACCAGCTCGTAGTGGCCGCAGTGTGCTCATCCCTTAATCTTTAGTAATCAAATAGTCTATATCTGCAGTGTCTCGTGCAGTAACATAGACCAGTAACATATATAATATATATATATATATATATATATATATATATATATATATATATATATATATATATATATATATATATATATATATATATATATATATATATATATATATAT